AGCAAGACCATGCTCGAAGACATGAGCAGAATGTCATCCACATAGAGGTAAAGGGACAGCCTGCCCTCATGCCTCACTAAGTGGTACAAGGCGGGGTCACACTCCGACCTCTCAAACCCAAAATCCATCAGCGCCTCATCAAACTTGAGGTACCACTGCCTTGGAGCTTGCTTTAGCCCATAGATTGATTTCTTGAGTCGGCAAACTCTGCCGGACCCATCATCAAAACCAGGTGGCTGTCTCATGTAAAGCTCCTCCTTCAAGACCCCATGAAGATAGGCGGTGGTCACATCCATGTGATGGATGTGAGACCCCGAGGATGCTGCCATCCCAAGGGAACCTCTCAGGGTGGTAGGTTTACCCACCGGGGTATATACCTGGTCATAGTGAACGCCTCGTGTTTGAGTGTTCCCCATGGCCACCAACCTGGACTTAGGCCTCTCAATACTCCCATCAGCCATGTGCTTATACTTCCACACCCACTGACACCTCAAGACCTCCATTCCAGGTGGCACACAAGCTGGATCAACCAGCTCAAAAGACTCGTTCACCCTATGAGACTCAAGCTCCTCACGCATGGACTCGACCCACTCAGGACGGGACAAGGCCTCCTTGACCGACTTAGGCTCATGCACCTGACCCATGAGACAGAAATCAAGCCCAAGCTCACCCCCCCTCAGCATCCACAAGCATGCACTCCTCCATATCATGCACCTCATGATCATGCATGCAAGCATACTGTGCACTTGGTGTGAACCTTTCGGGTGGCCGGGAGATGCGTGTGGTGCGGCGCAGAGGTGATGCCTCCCCCTGCTCCAAACTTTGCAGCTTCTCCTTCCAAGTCACTCTCTTCATGGGGGACCGTGGTGACTTGGACAGCTGCTGCTGCAGTATTTGCTGCCACCTACCCGCAGGAACAGGTGGTGTATGCTCCTGTGGTGGCTGCTGCGGCTTCTCTTGTTGTTGCTGCTGCCCTTGTGGCTGCTCCGGGTCATGGGCTGGTGCGTTAGGGTCAGGGGTAGAACCAGCAGTTGGTGACTCCTCATGGTGAGGTGCAGCTGCCTTTTGTTCCTCTTGCTGCTCCTCTACCTCCTCTCCAGGGTCCTCCCATGCCCCCTCAAAGATGGAAGAGGTGTAGGGATCCTGAAGGGAATTCCCAACTGTACTAGCACCATGCTCTTTCCACCCCTTATAGCTCAGCCCCTCGTGGAAAACCACATCCCTACTTTCCACCACCCGCTGATCCGCCACACTCCACAACATCCAAGCTTTACTCCTCTCCGACACCCCAAGAAAAATGCCCCATTGTGCCTTAGGATCCAGCTTCCTCCGTTGCTGGTCGGGCACTTTGTACTGCGCCATGCACCCCCACACTCGTGCCATGGACACACTAGGCACCTTCCTGGTCCACATGAAGTAAGGGCTCTTGCCCCCTAGCCCCTTGCTGCCCATTCTGTTCTTAACCCAGTTTGCATATTGCACTGCTGCCCCCCACCAAGTATGGTCCAGCTGCGCATGAGCAAGCATGGCTCGGGCAAGGTCAATGAGGGTCCGGTTTAGCCGCTCCGCTGCCCCATTTTGCTGCGGTGTGTAGGCGACTGAAAGCTGGTGGGTGATGCCCTTGTCTTCAAGGAAAGCCTCCAGGTCCTTCCCCATGTACTCCCCACCCCAATCAGACCTTAGTATCTTCACCTTCGCCCCAGCTTCCCTCTCCGCATAGCGTATCCAACGTTTGAAGACCTTGGCCACCTCATCCTTGGTTTTCACCAAGGTAACCCAACTTAGGCGGCTGAAGTCATCCAAGAAGGTGATGAAGTATTTGCTGCCCTTCTCCCTATCCGGTGTTTGCATGGGGCCACACACATCCGTGTGCACCAACTCAAGAGGTGCGGAGGCTCGAGTGGTGGAGGTAGGGAAAGAGGTCCTTGGCAGCTTCCCGGTCGTGCAATCAGGGCACTTGCTTGGCTGCCCACCACCCTCCTTGATCTCCACACCCTTCAGCTCCCCCTTCTTCACACACTCCACAAGTTGCTACCTTCCTGCATGCCCCATGCGTAGTTGCAGCAAATCTGCCGTCACCTGCTCCACGTCCCTCCAACGGCTGCTACAAGTGGCTTCCTCGGCTTCAACTCCATGTGCCCTCTCCACCTGAGGCACACAAACTGGAACAAGGTATAGGCCCTTCTCTAATTTGGCCTCCATCACCACAGCTCCACCCTTGCGAACCGTGCCACCTTCCATGGTGAAGGTGCATATGTATTCTTGCCTCGCAATTTGAGAGCATGAGAGAAGGTTGGCTGCCAAATCAGGAACATGAAGCACACCCTTCACATTCAACACCTCCCCCTCCTTCCCCATGACGGTGATGGTGCCGATGCCGATTGCTTGCAGCGTATCTCCGCTCCCCACAATCACATTTCTGGAGTTAGGTGGGAGGGAGTGATAAGTGGTGAAGAGGTCGCGCCGAGGTACCATTCCACAGGTTGCTCCAGAGTCTAGAATGAGCTGATTGGGGTCAGCCAACGTACGACCAGCAAGCGCCGTCTCCTTCTCTAAGGATAAGAAGGAGAAGCAATCATCCGATACGTCCTCCTTTCCCTTCTTATCCTCGTTTGCCGCCGCTGCTGCCGATTTCTCTTTGCTGCCCTTCTTGTTCCATGCTCCGTTCTTCATCCTCCTCTCCACCCACTCAGGCCTAGTGACAGGTGGAGCCTCTCCTGGGTACCCTTGAGGCTTCCACCCATCTGGTCGACTCCAGCACTCCTTCCAAGAGTGCTTCCGGTTGCATCCAGGGATGAGGCACTTGTCGAGCTCCTTCTTCTTCCCCCCACCTCCGTGCCGCTGCTGGTATTTCTTGGAGGCAACCCTATCACCTGCCCCCATTCCCCCTTCAACTCCTCTACCAGCATTACGCTTGCGAGCCTCATCAGAAACCAACACCTCCCATATCCAGGCCTTGGTCCATTTCTGCTGCTCTAGGTGAAGGTATTGTAGTAGAGCCTCGTTTGCTTCTTGGTCCAGCCCCTGGAGTGCGGTGTAGATGATCTCCTTCTCATCTACTTCATAGTTCAGCTCCTCCAATGCCCTCACATACTCATCCACCCTCTGGAGGTACTGCACCATGGTCTCCCCATCGCCATAGTTGCGTTCCATGGTGTAGAACCGCTTCCTCCAGGTGAGTATGCTTAACAACCCTTTTTGCAAATGTCGATCTTGAACTCTCTTCCATGCTAGTGCAGCTGCTCCTTGCTTGCCCTTCAGGTCAATCAGCATCTTTAGGAGCTCTAGTTGGCCTTCCAAGGCCCAACACAGGTACTGGAACGCTTGCTTGTCCTTGCGGTCCCATGCTTCTTGTGCCTTAAGAAGCTCCTCTGTACTAAGCCGTTGCCTTCCGGTTCGTGGTGCTGCTGGTCCACCTCCACTTCCCTCAGTTATGGATGAGCTAGAGGCTCCCCCAGCCCCTTCTCCCACTTGGCTAGAGACTCCAGTAGATGCATTTCCTTCATCAGCCTCAGGTCTTCGCTCCGATCCCTCCAAAACGCCTTCTAGGTCTTTGATACCTAGCCAAAGCGTAAACTGGAACCGCCATAGCGAAAAATCCGAGCCGGTGAACCTAGGAGGGCCATCTTATTTCTGGGCCATAACCAACCCTAGATCTGGAGATTCTTAAGCCAATTCATAATATGATAATAGGAGGGAATGTCGCAGGCCTAACCAGCTCTGATACCACTTATGGAAAGCGCGTGAATCTGGAGAGCGTACAAGAGATTAAGTCCGCCGACTTCGACGGAACATTGCGTGCAGCTCACGTAACCTTAAACTATGAGCAGGTACGCGTTGGAATGGTCTTAATCTCTACTTTCCATAATAGTAACGCACGCTTTCAACCAAGATCTAGGCCGATCGCTATCGCGATTTAAGTGCGACGGTGTATTCTGGCGGAATTAGTAGGCAGCCATGGATTAGACCAAAAGACTAGCTTTAGCAAGAGTTCAGATCTGAAAAGTGACGAGTTGTTCAAACCCTACCAACCCAACCCTCGCCCTACAACAATCCCCAACAACCCAAAGTGCTAAACTAGCAACACCAAAGGTGTTGTAGTGAATAGCAAAGGTTTGTTGCTTGTTGGGTGCGAGATCAATACCAGCCCGCAACACCACATTTTGCCCAAACCCTTAGCCCACAACCAGCTAGAGCAAAATACCACAACCACCTACACAATCAACATTGAAATCTCATTCAAATCGAAATGTGTGGAGGGTTCTGCTTCAGAATCGCGCGAGGGCGATTCTTTGCCGGCGCACAAGGGCAAGGAAGGACACGTCACTTTCGCATAGGAATGTGTCATGCTCGCCCCAGCCCAGTGTACGAACCAATAGCTTGCAGTCGCTCGTTTGCATCGCACAGGCTTGCCCCAGTGTACGACCAATGGCCTGCAGTCGCTCGCTCGCAACGCACAGACAACAGTTGTTCCCGAGCCCCCTGTCACCTCAACTTCGCGCCGTTGCGCTTTTCCTGAGCGAGCCCGCCCTCGAGGGAGTCGAACAGAGTAGAAGTGGATGTGGAGTCGCTGCAAAACGGGAAGTTGTTACTGTTTTAATCCGGTTATTTTATAATATGTTTATACATGCGCTTATAATAAATCAGGGTTATATAAGGGGTGCGCTTATAATTGAGGATCGGCCATAAGCGCATTGCTCCAGATATAAGCGCATGCGCTTAACATAGGCCTGCGCTTATATCCGGGGTGATACGGTACATCATTGCATGCAACATGAAAAATTCTATAATACCAGTAACAAACAGCATCTTAAAAAAGTTTCAGCTGCTTCTTGTAGGTCGACTTGAGATATGCTTGGTTGATTTGATTAGATCAGGAGAATTTGACAAAAAGTCAATGGTGTCCTTCATCCCCACAATGAACGTGTCAATCTCCTCCTTTGTGTTGTACACATACGCGCTCGCCGCGCACTCGCGCTTTGAGTCGACTCAAAACTAGATCAGGAGAAGTTGACAAAGAAGTCAATAGTGTCCTTGAGGCCGACAATGAACGCATCAATCTCCTCCTTAGTGTTGTACACATACGCGCTCGCCCTCGCACTCGCATTGATGCCCAGCTGCTGGTGAATGGGCTGTGCGCAGTGGTGCCCGCTGCGGATGCCCACTCCGTGCTGGAAGGGTGGAGGTTGGGGAAAACGAGAGGGAGAGGGAAACGGGGAGAGGAGGGTGGGAGAAGGCTCGGGGAAGCATGAATGGGCTGCGCACAGTGGTGCCCGCTGCAGATGCCCACTCTGTGCTGAAACGGCGGAGTTTGGGGAGCAGAGAGGGAGAGGGGAAAGGGGAGACGAGGGTGGGGGAGGCATGAATCTGCTGCGCACAGTGGTGCCCACCGCAAGTAGCCGCTCTATGTTGAAAATGGCAACAATTGGAAATGAGAGAAGGCAACGGGAGAGCGGAGAGGGGGGAAAGGAAGGGGGAGGACAGAGGGGGAGAGGGGGGGGGGGAAGGGGGGCAGTGGGGAGGAGGGGCTACACATGCCATGCCCACACCTGTTGATCCAGGAAGGTGGCACGTCGGTGGCATGCATGCCATCCACACTGAATGTGTGGAGAGCAGCCGACCGCCCCTCTGGAGGGGGGCTTAGGGCATGGTATGGTATGGTATGGTATGGTATGGTATGGTGTACCTGTTGATCGAGGAAGGAGGAGACATCGGTGGCATGCATGCCATCCACGCTGAATGTGCACAACGCCGCCACCCGCCCCCTTTGGATGGCAGTCGGACCTCCCGGGAGCAGAGACGGTGGAGGAGGGCCGTAGATGCGCACTCGATCAACGGCTGAGAGCTGCTTGTAGAGGTACTCTGATAGATGCATCTGGAATAGGAAGGGTAGGACGGGAGGGAGGGGCAGTGGTAGAGTTGGAAGAAAGCATGCAACAGCAACATGCTAATCAAGGTGCCAATCGGAAGACTAGAGGTTACGGAAGCGACATAGCCCACATGCATGCTATACGGTCTGAAATCCATGACATCTATATCCAAAGATCCCCATGGCAAACCCCTCCTTCACATCACATCAAGATCTAGAGACATTCATCCATGCATCATGCCCATGCACGAATACCCCACAGATGTGCACAAATTGCTACACATGTTCATTCATACAAAGCATTTGTGAACTGACGAATGGCCCAAGCATACCTCATATGCATGCACGTTATCCATGCCCTTAGCTGTCAGATAGTCCACTGCTGCTCCCAACCCTATGGCCTCCGCAATGGCTGGCGTGCCAGCTTCGAACCTGGAGAGCAAGAGAGGGGAGGGCAGGGAGGATAACATGTGCGAGTTAAAACACTGGTCACATGTTAGCTATATGGCATTAGCAATGGCTGCACCCCCAGCTTCGAATATGGGAGGGGGGGAAGGGAGGATGCGTTACCTGTAAAACCAGTCACAATCACCCCTGTGGCATCTCCAATGACTGGAATGGCATATTTGTAGCTAGGAAAGCGAGAGAGAGAGGGGAAGTACTGGGAGAATGGGGCAGCGGCGAGGGCAGTAAGTGGGGAAGTAACGACCAGAGGTGGGGAGCAGCTAGAGAGGATGAGAGATGCGGTGGCAGGTCCTGTTTTTGAGGCGCCTCAACAACAGACAGGAAGGGCGTACCTTGCAGGGGGATCGGAGTAGGTGGAATGGTCCAAAAAGACGTCCTGAATCATCTCGCCTCCTCCTGACGACAAAAGAATCACAGGAACGATCGGGCCAGTCGAATTGATTGGAGAGAGAAAGGTAAGAATGGGCCGAAGGGGGGTTAGTAGAAGGGAGGTGAAAGGTGAGACGAAAGAGACAGATAGGGGTCAGGTAGGGATCTGCAGCAAGTCCAGCCCCTGATTTATGTAGCCCAATAAGTAAGGGATGTTCATCTCTTTGTAAAGCTATCCAAATGTGGTCAGCTGAGTGGAACCTAACCCCTGCACGCTCATGTCATGAAGGGACGCGGATACCCTTGAGGGCACGTGCCTACCCATAAAGGGCGGCATGGAGGCGAGCACTTCGGATCGACCGTAAAGGAAGCCAATGCCCGTGGGCCCAGCCATCTTGTGCGAGGAGACCGCTGCAAAGAATGAGACGCCTCATAAGGGCACAGTCTTACCCGTGAAGGGAGGCATGGAGGCGAGCACGTCGGATCGGCCATAGAGGAAGCCGATGCCCGTGGGCCCACACATCTTGTGGGAAGAGGCATGGTAACGGCATGCCACACACGCTTACCCATGAAGGGAGGCATGGAGGCGAGCACGTCGGCGCGGCTGTAGAGAAAGCCAATGCCCGTGGGCCCAGCCATCTTGTGCGAGGAGACCGCTGCAAAGTCCACCCCCAGCTGCTGCACGCGCTTACCCATGAGGACACACACTTACCCATGAAGGGCGGCATGGAGGCGAGCACGTCGGCGCGGCTGTAGAGAAAGCCAATGCCCGTGGGCCCAGCCATCTTGTGCGAGGAGACCGCTGCAAAGTCCACCCCCAGCTGCTGCACGCGCTTACCCATGAGGACACACACTTACCCATGAAGGGCGGCATGGAGGCGAGCACGTCGGCGCGGCCATAGAGGAAGCCAATGCCCGTGGGCCCAGCCATCTTGTGCGAGGAGACCGCTGCAAAGTCCACCCCCAGCTGCTGCACGCGCTTACCCATGAGGACACACACTTACCCATGAAGGGCGGCATGGAGGCGAGCACGTCGGCGCGGCCATAGAGGAAGCCAATGCCCGTGGGCCCAGCCATCTTGTGCGAGGAGACCGCTGCGAAGTCCACCCCCAGCTGCTGCACGCGCTTACCCATGAGGACACACACTTACCCATGAAGGGCGGCATGGAGGCGAGCACGTCGGCGCGGCTGTAGAGAAAGCCAATGCCCGTGGGCCCAGCCATCTTGTGCGAGGAGACCGCTGCAAAGTCCACCCCCAGCTGCTGCACGCGCTTACCCATGAGGACACACACTTACCCATGAAGGGCGGCATGGAGGCGAGCACGTCGGCGCGGCCATAGAGGAAGCCAATGCCCGTGGGCCCAGCCATCTTGTGCGAGGAGACCGCTGCAAAGTCCACCCCCAGCTGCTGCACGCGCTTACCCATGAGGACACACACTTACCCATGAAGGGCGGCATGGAGGCGAGCACGTCGGCGCGGCCATAGAGGAAGCCAATGCCCGTGGGCCCAGCCATCTTGTGCGAGGAGACCGCTGCGAAGTCCACCCCCAGCTGCTGCACGCGCTTACCCATGAGGACACACACTTACCCATGAAGGGCGGCATGGAGGCGAGCACATCGGATCGGCCATAGAGGAAGCCAATGCCCGTGGGCCCAGCCATCTTGTGCGAGGAGACCGCTGCGAAGTCCACCCCCAGCTGCTGCACGTCCACGGGCATGTGCGGCACGGACTGGCACGCGTCTAGAAGCACCTTGGCGCCCACTGCATGCGCTCTTTCTCTGATCTGCTCCACTGGGGACTCCGAGCCTGAAGGATGGGGGTAAGAAAAGGGAGGGTGGGTGGGTAAGAGGCAACAAAGAAGTCACACTCTCCAGCTGCTGCACGTCCACAGGCATGTGTGGCACAGACTGGCACGCGTCTAGCAGCACCCAAATGTGAAAGGTGAGCCCCCAACTGCTAACTCAGTGAGTGACTCACTCAGCATGTTTGGTATGACACATGATATGCCACATGGTATGCCACATCGTGCGACACAGGGTGCGCTTGGCTTGGCACCCATTGAAACCACGATTCACCCAGCACGTTGGACACATGGTGCACGGCCCCTCCTTCTCAAATGACTTTTGAGTCGACTCAAAACTCACCCAGCACGTTGGAAACATGGTGCACGGCCACGAGCTTGGTGCGCGCGCCAATCATCTCCAGCAGCCGCTCATAGTCCACCTCCGCGCCCGCCGCATGCCCCTCCCTCTCCGCCTCCTCCGGCACTTTCAGGGGCGCAAACTTCAAAACCGCCCCGGTTTTCTGGGCTACAATCTGCCAGGGGACGATGTTGCTGTGGTGCTCCGCGACTGTGAGGAGCACTTCGTCGCCCGGGGAGAGGTTGGAGAGCCCCCACGAGTACGCCACGAGGTTGATTGCCTCGCTGGCGTTGCGCGTGAACACGATCTCCGACGGGCCCTGCGCTGTGTTGATGAACCGCGCTACTTTCTCGCGTGCCTTCTCGTACTCCTCTGTGGCCAGCATGCTGCGGGGAGGGGTGGGTGTGGGAGGAGGGGGAGAAGTGAGTGCAAAGTACAAGTAGAGGCGATCCTGGAAGGGCCCTGGCCCAACCTTCTCCCGTTGCTTCCCATACTCCTTTTGCTAACATGCTGTGAAAAGAAAAGGGTGGGTATGGAGGGCGAGGGGAGTGGGGATCGCATAAGGGCCCTGGGACGGCAGGGTTGACGAAGCGAGCGAGCTGCTTCCTCCCACGCCTTCACACACTCCTCTGTGGCATGCATGCTCGGACAGGGGGAGAAGAAGGGAGGAGACGAGAACGTGAGGTGCTGAAGAAGGAGGAGAAGGGGTAAGAAACGAAGGTGAGTGAAGTGGGGAAAACGAGAATGTTTGGTTTTACAAACAGAGCTCGTTGTCTCCCCGGCCCACGGAGAGTGGGGGAACAAAAACATTAAGAGGGTGCTGATCGTTGATGCATGGGTGTCACGGCTCACCTCAGGTAGTGCACTGCACGTTGCAATACACATTATCATCGTATCATTGGTAGGTAGTAGTAGCCAGCACATCCGTGACGTTAATCGCTTGCATGCTTACATGGGTTACAGGCCACGCACTCAATGTCAAATACACAATGTACGCTCACCCGGGACAGTGTACACTTCAAGGCTCCTCGGCTTTGTGTCGTTTGCTCCATTCACCATGGTGCTGTTGATTGCACGCATGCATATACGCGTTACAAGCTCACCTGAGATAGTGCACACCGCGGTGCACATTGGCATTGTAGCGCCGGTAGTAGTCATCCATGGCGTTGATCACTTGCAGTGGCTTCTGCGAAGTTGCTGCACTGTCTAGATACACCAATGGCTGGCCGCCTGGCACCTCCTGATGCATTGAAAGAAGACAAGTGAGTGGAATAACGACGACATTGTACAATTCAGTTATATAAAGCCTCGGCAACCTCTTATCAACCGCATGGATGCCCGCTCCACTGATTCACATAGAATACTGATTCTGAAGTAAAACTATGTGTTCTCGTGGACTGTAAACAGACACGGGCAAGTGTTGTCCAGTCGTCTCACAATTCAGGATGTAAGACGTTCAAAATTACCTGATGCAAAATCGGGAAGTCTTCGCGAATCGCCTTCCCTAGCCCCGTCGCATCCGCCGTCGACGCACTCGCATCCGTTGTTTCACGCGCTGACACCGACGCCTCGACGGCCCTTCGCTCAACGGCTCTTTGCAACCCGTTAGGGCTGCAACCGCTGCCGCCGCTAACGGCGAGGCGCCTCAAGCCATTGAATGAAATTAGGTTGGGTGAGAAGGAGGTTCGGAATGCCTTAGCTGCTGAGGCTACTGGTCTTGCTGGTGTCATTGCTGACGTGGCATGTTGAAGAGGTAGACGAGCAGGAGGAGAACTGATGAGAGCCATGCTAGGAAGACGAGCGATGGTGGATAAGTAGCGCGTGAGACGATACACAGGAACGGTATTGGAAAAAGGAGAATTGGCAGTCGATACGCTTATTCTGGGGCCAGGACAATCCTCGTAGCCTGCAAAGCAGAGTGGCGTGGATCGGACGCAAACAAGGCGAAGTGGCAGAAGCGAGATAGAAATCAGCCCAGTTCCGTGTTTCAGAAAGTGGCAAATGCGAGTGTGTGTGTGAATGAATTTGCGTGTGTACATGTATACGCTTTGCCGGAGGAGGTAGAAAGAGGCGAATGGAAGAGCTGGAGCAGGCGAATCAGGTCAGCGCATGGCTGTGAGTGAGTGGCCGCCTCGATTCCTCCTCCACCTGACATGCACTCACCAACGCTGACGTGGCAGAGGAAGGGCCTTCGACCAAGTTCAAGGAACCATGCTTTTGATCGGAAGTGGATAGTCTGGTAAAGTAAACTTCGTTACGGTATTGTGACAGATTTTCGAATAGGTATGCGCTTATACCAGTGGATATCATAGAGGCCACATACCAGGGCCCAAAATATCAGGGTAAAATACCCTTTTTGCCATTTCTGTAGGCCGCTTTTTCATTTACCCTGATGAAGGCAGGCTAACCGTATAGTTACCCTTTCTTCAAATTAGTGGTTTTTTTACCCTTTCAAAACAGTATAGTAGTTTTCTTTCCCTGATTAAGAAGTGTAACATATGGGTTTCAGCAGTAGCGATCCGAAGAAACCCGTGTATGCCCAATAGACATCCCGCACGCATCAAAATTCGAACCTATAACCTTCTCATTCGGAAGAGATCTAACAACTGATTATGTCATTTACTAACGTTTCATGTGGTACAAGAAACAATTATGGAATTTTTCTTTAATTCAGTCAGGGTACTTTTTTTTTTAGCCTGTATCTGTCAGCGTATCAGAAATTTTACCCTAGGCCATCAGGGTGGGACAGGCTGAGACCGAGATTAGGCAGGGTGGCCTAAAACCAATTTTGGGCCCTGCCACATACGGCCTGCTCCTATACCTGGGGTCTCATGGTATGCCACATTGTTCTACAAGTACTGGTGGGTGCCTCAGTGCAGGCGTCAATTGATAATACCGGTACGCATTGTCAGGGAGCAAAAGAGGAGGGGACGCTTGCAAAGCACAATACATGAATGTGGTAAGATGGTTACTGTTGTAACATAGTCTGGTATTGCGTTATCAAGTGTGATAGAAACATAGCAGCCCGACGGTCTCAATATACTTAGCTTCAAGCACAAACTCAAGCTTAAAGCCCAAGACCTGAATTACTCAACGGAAGTCAACGCTAAAAACTAGGTTCGGGAGGCAGGCACGGAGAGGTTCGGTTGGGTTGCGAGAGATTTTCACTCGCGAAACCAATTTGCGACAAAAGTTTCTCGCTTCCCATGATGGTTGGTGCCCTTCCCACAACCAGAAAAGCGCGAGCTTATCAAACTCTGCACAGTTTGGGATAGCACGCAGAGTATTAGGCATAGACCATACCTGTAGACAGGGCAGGGCGTCGGCGTTCACTCAAAAGGGAGTAGATGCGCCATATGATTTGGGTGGCGCGGATTTGCAATGATGACGCGCAAAGCTAGTTTGCGCTGGGTGAAGATTATTGTGTCGAAATGCAGGTTATTGTGCAACTACTCCGTAGCGTAAACTCGTGGCGAAAATCGAATCGCAACCGTTCGCCCAAACGTGACCCTCCCCTCGCCCTCGCTTTCCTTTCCCACGCTTCCGCTCTCTTTCGCCCGCGTCGTCGCCATCGCTTCCGCAGCTTGTCGCGTGCCCGTCGCCTTTGCTCCGCCCGTCGCCTTCACTTCTCCCCCGTCGCCTTCACTCCCCCCCCTCTGCATCTGTCCCCCGCTGCTTCTTCTCTTCCCCTCTGCTCATTCCGTTTACTGTCTTTCCCCCTTCACTCACCCCCATACCCCCCAATGCAGTTACAGGTGCTCAGCACCAGATGTGGCTTTACCACGGCCTGGTTTATTGCTTGCAGTGTAGCAGACAAAACCGGAAAACAACATTACACATACACCCCCTAGCTTTGTTCCCTTCTCGAGTCTGGTGATTCCCCTTACTTTACAGATACGGTAATATATTAATTGTTGAACTCCTTGGTATTGGTCATGTGTATGATTGCTCTGAGGCTCATAATCCTGTATTATAAAAAAAGAATCCAATATATGGCATGGCTATACGTGTGTTACTATCAGACAGCTAGCACATGCACAACCAGATGCAGAGCAGACCTATCCAAACTCAAATCAAGAAGTCAGATGTGACGTGGCTGAAGTATAAGGGAATGACAACTGGCAAATGAGGAAGGGAGAAACGGAGGAAGGGAAGAAGTGAGGAATGCAGGAATGAAGGAAGGGAGGAAGTGATGATGGGAGGAAGGGAGGTAGGGAGGACGCTTGGGGGAGAAGCAGAAGGGAGGGGAGGAAGAGAGGCTGGGGAGGAGGGTGGGGAGGAGGGTGGGGAGGAGGGTGGGGAGGAGGGTGGGGAGGAGGGTGAGGAGGAGGGTGGGGAGGAGGGTGGGGAGGAGGGTGGGGAGGAGGGTGGGGAGGAGGGTGGGGAAGAGGGTGGGGAGGAGGGTGGGGAGGAGGGTGGGGAGGAGGGTGGGGAGGAGGCTGGGGAGGAGGCTGGGGAGGAGGCTGGGGTGGGGCGGAATGGGGTGGGCCAGAAAGGGGTGAGGCGGAATGGAGTGGGGCAGAAAGGGGTGGGGCGGAATGGGGTGGGGCGGGGCGGAATGGGGTGAGGCGGATTGGGGAGATGAGGGATGGGGAGATGAGGGATGAGGAGATGAGGGATGGGGAGGTGTGGGATGGGGAGGAGAGGGCTGGGGAGGAGAGGGATGGGGAGGTGAGGGATGAGGAGGTGAGGGATGGGGAGATGAGGGAAGGGGAGATGAGGAATGGGGAGATGAGGAATGGGGAGATGAGGGAAGGGGTAATGAATGAACGTGTATGCGACGGAAGGGTGCTGCTGACCACGCACCCTCCCACACCCCACGCGATGGGAAGGGATGAGAGGGTGGGCGGCATGGGTAGAGAAGCGATGGTGAATAGGGGGAACGTGATGGGCAGGGGAGTGATGACGACGTGGAGAGAGGAGGAGAGAAGGGAGGTCGGCGGGAAGGCTAAGCGAGGACGATGGGAGGGCAAGCGTGGGCGACAGTGGCGGTGGGCGACGGTGGCGGTGGGCGACGGTGGCGGTGGGCGACGGTGGGGAGAAGCGTGGGCGACGGTGGGGGGAAGCGTGGGCGACAGTGGGGGGAAGCGTGGGCGACGGTGGGGGGAAGCGTGGGCGACGGTGGGGGGAAGCGTGGGTGACGGTGGGGGGAAGCGTGGGCTACGGTGGGGGGAAGCGGGGGCGACGGTGGGGGGAAGCGTGGGCGACGGTGGAGGGAAGCGTGGGCGACGGTGGGGGGAAGCGTGGGTGACGGTGGGGGGAAGCGTGGACGACGGTGGGGGGAAGCGTTGGCGACGGTGGGGAAAGCGTGGGTGACGGTGCTCCGAAGCGTGGGCGACGGTGGGAGGAATCGTGGGCGATGAGAGGGGAAACGTGAGGGAAGGTGGGGAAAGGCGTGAGCGACGGTGTGGGGGAAGGCCGGAGGAAGCGTGAGCGGCGATAAGGGGAAGCGTGAGCGACGGTGGGGGAAAGCTTGGGCGACGGTGGGAAGAGTGGGCGTGTGCGTGGGGAGGTGTGTGAGACGGTGGGGAGAAGCGTGGGGGACGCGGAAGGCGATAGGTCCAAATGCGATGTTTGGGAAAGAGCTAGGAATAAAAGTGAAAATGCTCATGGCCTATGCTGTAGTGGCGTTTTATTCTATCTCTTCGCATACTCTAATCGTTTCGCGTACTATGGAAATCACACGACCTGAATTACCGAAGAAGGCAAACTGTGCACATTTTGAGCCCTTGTTCCTTCAGGAGGGTGTGGTTGGGACTCTCGCCAACCAAACCTGTTCTGCTCTACGACTCTGTTTCTTGGCGCAATGTTTTCTGGTAACCAGCCTGGCTCGGGAGGTCAACTGTGGGTTCGGTAGGCAAACTGTGCACAGTTTGCCTTCCTTTTTTTGTAATTCAGGTCTTGGGCTTTAAGCAAAAGCTGAACCTGAAGCTGAAGCACAAGCACAAACTAAAGCTCCAGCTCAATCTTAAAATCAAGCTCAAGCTCAAGCTCAATCATTATTCACAAACCATGTTCAAAAGCATATGCCAGTTAGTACCAACCCATGTCAGAGAATGCATTCGTCCCATCTCAGCCACTCCTGAGCGCTACTCTAGAGCAAGGAAAACCTCACGAAGGCATGGAAACGTGTCACTGATCTGTGGGATCTGGGCCAACTCTGGAGTATACGCGAGCGACGGGTACAGCCACTCTGAGATGGCGGCTGTGAAGTCTGCGGGAGTTGGTGAGAGGAGCGCCTCCCAGTCAACCTGCACTCACAGGACGGGAGGGGCACGTGAAGGGACAGCAGGTTAGCAAGCGCTGGACTGGCACCCCACTTGTGCCTCTCTTGCTTTCACATACGCCAGTGTTGTCTCTCAACCCTTATGCCTCTCTTGCCCACTTGCACACTGATTCTCCCCCCCATTCGCATCCTCTTTGTGTCTCTTCGATCGTCAATCACCCCCACAACAGCACAATCAACTCGCCCACCACCAACATCCCTGGCTATCCACATGCCCTCTGCTCACCTGCACACCCCATGGCAATCCACATGCCCTCTGCTCACCTGCACGCCCGGAGGGATGGCGGTGGTGACTTGCAGGTCCATGGACAGTAGCATAGCGAGCGTTACCACGTAACCCGTGCCTGATGTACCTCGCGACAAGGGCTGGAAGTTGTACCTGGCGTGGTGAAGTGTGGTGTGGTGTGGTGTGGTATGGTTTCAGTGAAATTAAGATTTGGGAGGTTTGGGTGAGTGCAGAAGCACAGGTTGAACATACACACAGTAATGTAAACAGCCCTGAAAACAAAACGGTGTATGTGTTTCTGTGATGTGATGTGCAGATGCGCCTGTGCGTATAGTGGTCTGAAGTTGGTCGTGAATAGGGGACAGGGGAGAAGGAGCAGGGACCCAGTAGTCAGCCCCAGCAGTAATAGGCAACAGTAACTTCATGCTTCACATGAGCATAGCAGCAGTGGGCCATGCGATGATGCTCTACCATACCCTCCAGCAGCAGCACATACCAGTAGTAGGCAGTATTGGAATGCTGCACTTGAACATACCAGTAGTCACCCCAACAGTAATAGGCAACACTAACTCCATGCTTCACATGAGCATACCAGCAGTAGGCCATGCGACGATGCTCTACCATACCCTCCAGTAGCAGCACATACCAGTAGCAGCACATACCAGTAGCAGCACATACCAGTAGCAGCACATACCAGAAGCAGCACATACCAGAAGCAGCACATACCAGTAGCAGCACATACCAGTAGCAGCACATACCAGTAGCAGCACATACCAGTAATAGGCCATTCTGAGTACGCTGTCCTGAACTGCCTTGCGGTAGGCCGGGAAGTCAGAGTCGCGGAGAGACGTGTTCACCACTGCCAGGCGGATGGCCTGATGGGAGAGATAGGCGAAGAGTAGATGGTATGTGAGAGAGCTTTCAAAAGTCCCACCAATTGCGGAGATGCATTTGCCACTGCGATGCAGATGGGCTGATGGGAGAGGGCCGGTTGGACACGGGGCGTGAGGGGAGCAGAGCGTCAGAGCGGGCGTGAGGGAAGCAGGGCAGTAGAGAGGGATGGGAGCGCAGCGTGAGGGATGTAAGAGCAGTGAAGTGAGGTGGGACAAGGAGATGGGATCGGGGAGAATGAGGAGATTCAGACAAGCACGAATGAGTGCGCATGCGGTGATGAGTCTGTATGAGCACTTGCTCGCACTCACCTGCCATGCAGCGTCCATCTCCCTCTCATACTCCCTCCACCGCTCTGGCTTGAGCATGAGCTCGATCGCTAGCTCGGGCTCGGGTGGGCTGGCGAGGAAGAAGGACGGAGTCTGTGTGTGTGTGAGCACTTGCTCTCACGCACCTGCCGATTTTTGAGGCGCCTCAAAAATGCTGTGGTGAGTTTCTATGTGTGAGCACTTGCTCTCACGGTCTCACCTGCCATGCAGCGTCCATCTCCCTCTCATACTCCCTCCACCGCTCCGGCTTGAGCATGAGCTCGATCGCTAGCTCGGGCTCGGGTGGGCTGGCGAGGAAGAAGGACGGAGTCTGTGTGTGTGTGAGCACTTGCTCTCACTCACCTGCCGATTTTTGAGGCGCCTCAAAAATGCTGTGGTGAGTATATATGTGTGAGCACTTGCTCTCACGGTCTCACCTGCCACACCGCATCCATCTCACTCTCATACTCCCTCCACCGCGCCGGCTTGAGCATGAGCTCGATTGCTAGCTCGGGCTCAGGTGGGCTGGCGAGGAGGAAGGGCGGAGTATGTGTGTGTGAGGAGCACTTGCTCTCACGGTCTCACCTGCCATGCAGCGTCCATCTCCCTCTCATACTCCCTCCACCGCTCCGGCTTGAGCATGAGCTCGATTGCTAGCTCGGGCTCGGGCGAGCTGCAGGGGACAGCGCGAGAAGAGGAGGAAGGGGGTTGGAGGGAGGGGAGGGGGGAGAGGAAATAGCGATGGGGCTTGAGCATGAGCTCGATTGCTAACTCAGGCTCGGGTGAGCTGCGCGGGACAGGCGAGGAGGAAGGAGGTTGGCGGGAGTGGGAGGGGGAGTGGGGGAGACGAGGTTGGATTGGAGGATGGGGCTTTAGCATGAGCTTGATTGCTAGCTCGGGGTCGGTGACTTTTGGGTCGACCCAAAAGTCAGCTGCAGGGGACAGGCGAGGAGGAAGGAGGTTGGAGGGAGGGGTAGACGAGAGATGAGATAAGGAAAGGGGCTTGAGCATGTGTTTTGAGACGTCTCAAAACACTCCTTCAAACAAGGGGTAGACGAGAGATGAGATAAGGAAAGGGGCTTGAGCATGAGGTCTATTGCTAGCTCGGGCTCGGGCAAGCTGGCAAGGGGGAAGAAAGGAGGCACGGACAGGGAAAGGAAGGAGGCACGGACAGGGAAAGGAAGGAGGCACGGACAGGGAAAGGAAGGGGTAGGATTCTGAAGGAAATTGAGCATGGGCTTGGTGACGAGCTGGGGGTTGGGGGAGGCGGAAAGGGATCTAAGATGTGGGGATGGAAGGAGGGAGGAGGTATGCTTGGGAGAGATTGTTGAGACGAGGGGAGGCGATGGTTGGGTAGGAGAGGGGAGTGAGTGATGTGAGGGAGGTGTGAGAGATGCGATGGTGCGAAAGAGGCTAGTATCGAGGCGTAAGGATCACGTCGAGCTTACTCGGGATTAGGAAACACTGATATTCGTGTGCCTTCAATAAGCTTCCTGCACACATAACACACATATTCATGGAAATACAAAGAAGCATTCAAACATACCCACATGGGAGAATGTTGACCATCACATGGGCATGCTTAAACGGGCCCGCAAGCAGAAATACAAACACCACACCAGAGGCAAACAGAGACCCAAACCTGTGCAACGGAGAGGGCTTTAAAGCAACTCAAACGCTGCACGTGCTAAAAGGCAAGGCACTACGAAACTCCAGCAGGGATCATGGCTGCAAGCACGGAGGTCAGTGTGCACCCGGGCTGTGCGGAGCTGGGGATGAGCAGCGGCGTGTAGAAGGAGGGTTGGCTGACTGCCGCGGCTAGCTGCGTGTGGGTGCTGGCCTTGCGCGCCTGGTGTGGGATGGGATGGGATGAACGGGATGCGGTGAAGGGTGGGGTAAAATAGTTTGCTTGATAAACGTAAAGCAGGCATGAGCATACTTGAAGCTTCAAGAGTGCAGAGTGTCCTTGAGTCTGCCAGTGCTCACACACCTTTCTGAGCCCTGTCTTGGAGAGTGGAATCTCTACAAGCCCATCCTGCGCCTTCACCCAGTTATGATGAGATGTCTCAAGTTTTCAGTTGTGAGGCACCTCATGTTTTGAGCTGTGAGACGAGTCAAAACGCAGCCATGCTCACAGACCTCTCTGAGCACGGCCTTGGTGAGTGGAACCTCCACCAGCCCATCCTGCGCCTTCACCACTCCTCTCTCCAGCAGCAGCTGCTTCAGAATCACAAACGCCCTGATGCACGCACAGGCACACACAGACACTCACGCATATGCATTTACAGATGATAAATCGGCTCTTGACATCAGAGCGTTCGGGATTCTGCAGCAGCTGCTGCACATGTGCAACTCCACCAGTCACTCCCTGTAGTCACACCTACATCCCTTAGACATATATGCTGGATGTCTCAAAAAACAGACACAGCCGTTACACAGTCCTGCGTGCATGCCACCCAAAGGCATATACGCTGATTTTGAAACACTGATTTCTTAGGAGATGTTAGCCTGCTGTACCTGTCCGCGTATGCGCCATACTTTTGAGGCGCCTCAAGACACGTTAGCCCACTGTACCTGTCGGCATATGCGCCGTATTTGAAGTTAAGCGATTGGCCGTATGAGATGGGGGTGCTGGAGATGACCCCCTTGTTGAACCCACTCTCCCTGCCACTCACCCACCGCACCCCAGCACACCCACGGAGGACGTCACAGTCAAGAAGGACGTCACAGTCAAGAAGGACGTCACAGTCAAGAAGGACGTCACAGTCAAGAAGGACGTCACAGTCAAGAAGGATTGCACATTGGGAAAAAGCACTGGCTGAAGCCGAAGCAATCTGTTAGCGCACAATTCGAGAGGTTAATGTTTTCAAATGTTAGGTTGTTACTCTCTACATTGGGTCACCAGCACGAACATATGTTGGTTAGTTAATCAGCACATCACTCACGTGTATCGATCGGACCACATCACTTTATCCGTTGGTTCCGCTACCTGCCGCCACGTGGCAGCCATGGAGTACACGTCACGCCACGTCAGCGCCACGTCAGCGCCGCTGCTGGCACTGGCTGGGCGAGACGAGGAGGCGAGAAGGCGGGCCCACTCGTGCCTGAGTGCGTGCATGATGGCCAGCATGGCTAGCCCTGCTGCCCTTTGCTGTGTGCATTGCATTTGGTGCAATGGGGATACAATGAGATGATTGGTGTGATTGGAGAGGGGAGTGGGAGAGTGTCTGAATGGGACCCACTCGTGCCTGAGGGCCTGCCTGAGGGCCTGCATGATGGCCAGCATGGCTAGCCCTGCTGCCCTTTGCTGTGTGCAACACAAAGAGTAAGATGCTTGGGATGATTGGTATGATTGGCGAGGGGAGGAGAGAGGGTCTGAATGGGACCCAAGCCACGGGCCATGGGGTTCAGCTACGGGCGCTTTCAATCATTCAAGCGAGTGCACATGCACATGGACATGCGGCCAATCCACATGCACATGCACATGCCATACGGACTGCTGAGTGGGTGCAAAAGCCCACCAAGAAGAGACCGGGTCCTCCTGGACCTCACTCCGTCTCATCCCTCACCTGCCGTCTGCTAGGCAGCCAGCCTAAAGCCCCCCACCCCTCACCTGCCGTCTGCTAGGCAGCCAGCCTAAAGCCCCCCACCCCTCACCTGCCGTCTGCTAGGCAGCCAGCCTAAAGCCCCCCACCCCTCACCTGCCGTCTGCTAGGCAGCCAGCCTAAAGCCCCCCACCCCTCACCTGCCGCCCGTTATTGAGGAAGCCAGCACAGTGGTACTGAATCAGGCTGCCCAGCCGGTCCGCCCAATCAACAGCCTCCACGTGGGCAGCACCCAGCCTTGCCCCCTCGCCCTCCCCACTGCATGTGCTGCCGTTGCCCCGTCCTCCAGATAGCGGCAGAGCCATGGGCTCATAGCCTGCCCGCAGCAGGGCATCTGGTGGATAGCGGTACGTCCAGCTCTCCTGGTGAGGGGATGGCGGAATCAGGAGTGGGGAGGGCAGTGAGGAGAGGACTTGGGAGACCGAGGCAATGACAAAAGGGCCTTGCGCTTGTAGCCTGCCTGGAGCAGCGCATCTCGTGGATAGCGGTATGCCCAGCTCTCCTGGTGGAGGGATGGTTGAGGAGAGAGGGAACGGGAGTGGAGTGGGGAGGGGAACGGGGAGAGGAGTGGGGAGAGGAGTGGGAAGGGGAGTGGGAGGAGTGGGGAGAGGGGTGGGGAGGAGTGGAGAGAGGAATGGGGAGAGGAGTGGGGAGATGCCATGAATTTGTCGCCTCTTCAGGTTTTGGCCAGTGTTGAGGCCTCAAAGAAATCGAGGGGAGGCAGTGGTGCCTAAAGAAAGCGAGTGAGTTGAATGAAATAGAGTCAAACTGAAGCTATTCTTGTTAGAGTCATCTTGAAGAGAGGAAGGAAGTGGTCGTCGATGCTGAATTGGTCCAAAGGCTGCTCCATGCATGCTGCGTGTAATGAGGTTATTCTTGAGACGTCTCAAAAACAACCTGAAGCTATTCTTGTTAGAGTCACCTTGAAGAGAGGAAGGAAGTGGTCGTCGATGCTGAATCGGTCCAAAGGCTGCTCCATGCATGTGGCCATGTAAATTGCCACCTCCCTCTGTGATTCATGTGATGTGATGCATGCATGCAGCATGCATGAGGTGCACGCAGGGAGACATGCAGGGAGACAGGGGCCAAGCTGAATTGGTCCAAAGGCTGCTCCATGCATGCTGCCATGTAGATTGCCACCTCCCTCTGTCATGTGATCCATGCAGGTGCACGCAGGGAGATATGGAGCATTGGTGCAGGCAGGGAGGCATGGCGCATGGGGTGCAGGGAGTTAGACATGGCGTATGGGGTGCAGGGAGTTGGACATGGCGTATGGGGTGCAGGGAGTTGGACATGGCGTATGGGGTGCAGGGAGTTAGACATGTACAAACCCATGCAGCAGGCATGAGTCAGCGGACATGCTCTCCTTGCTGCAGCAATCTCACAGAAAAAAAACCCTATCTCATTTGCTGGCTCCTCCCCATACAATCACACCTGGTAGAATGCCATGTCATGGCTCTGGCGCTCGCTGTAGTCACGTGGCTGCATCTTAAGCACGTGATTATACGCGTCAACCTGCCACCATCACCACAACCAGGCAGGTGCATTTGTCAAACTTGCTGAGGTGAGGGGATACACTAGGTTACCTTTGTAATTGAGGCGCCTAAAAAATGTGACTAAAGCCCAAAGGGAAGATCAACTGAGTAATACCGCTAAACCATGACCAAGCCTTGAGGCGACTGAATGGTGGCATGGCAGCCCTGCAACAAAGTAATGCTATGTCCGACGCCAGCCAGAGTCAAGGCTAGACTGGAAGAGCCTCAAGAGCAAGGTGACTTTTGAGTCGACTCAAAAGTCGTCTGAAAGGTGGCATGGCAGCCCAAGGCATGGCGTCTAAACCAACAAAGTAATGCTATGTCAGACGCCAGAGCAAAGGCTAGACTGGAAGAGTCGCAAAAGCAAGGTGACATTTTGAGAATTCTAAAAAAAAAACACGCCAGAGTCAAGGCTAGACTGGAAGAGCCTCAAAAGCACCAGCCAGAGCGGGTGCGGTTGGCTTGCATTCAACGTGCTGATCCGATCAACTACTCGACTCACAGTTGAGAATTCTCAAAAGGGATTTCAATATGACTTGGATTCAACTTGCTGATGCGATCAACTGCTCGACTCACAGCTTTGGGAAAGTCAGCCGAGGAGTGGTGCGATGATGCCAACCAATAGCGCAGCTCCACGTTAGTGGGGTGGTAGGGGAGGTACTTTGAGATCAGGCTGATTACCTCCCTGGCTTGCAGCACACAAGGAGAGACACCAAGAGAGAGAGGCGCAAAGAGAGAACCCTGTATACTGCCGCCTATATCAATGGACCGTTTGAGACACAAAGGGCGATACAAGAAACGATTGACACAATCCGCGGCAAAATCAGCAACGCAACCAGCAGTGCGAAAGTGGCATGGGCAGCACAACCAGCAACATGTTAGAAATAACTGCATGACACCTCGACGGCTCACAAGCACATGCCTCTTCTACCCATCTGAACCGCTCTGCACCCACCTGTGCCTGCCGGTGGATTGCAGCAGCTTCACCCACGAGTGCAGCGTGGGCATATCACTAAAGTACCATGCGTTGACGGGGGGGAGGGAGGGAGGGAAGGCGCATCGGTGCACAGCACACAAGGCGTTCATTCATGAAAGGGCGGGTGGAGAAGAAGTGACTGCTGGGAGGGAAGTTAATGGGTGGAGCAAAGAGGCTTTGCAAGGAGGTATGCAGCATATAGACTCCCCTCATTTGTGCTTCTGCCTGCCATTCAGTGAGCACATTCTCATATAACACCTCTCTGCCTTGTCCTCCTCCCATATCCCTCCGTACGTTTGCAGCACACGCCATGCCTCCAAGACTCCACCCATAGAACCTGAGCTTCTCGCATTCTCATAGCACCTCTCCGCTTCTCCCCTCTCCCCCACGCCCATCCGCCTGTTCCCCATCACACGCCTACATGCCTCCATCCATCTCACCTGGGGAACGCCTTGAGCGCATGCCCATAGCACCTCACCTGGGAAACGCCTTGAGCGCATGCCCATAGCACCTCACCTGGGGAACGCCTTGAGCGCATGCCCATAGCACCTCACCTGGGGAACGCCTTGAGCGCATGCCCATAGCACCTCACCTGGGGAACGCCTTGAGCGCATGCCCATAGCACCTCACCTGGGGAACGCTTTGAGCGCATGCCCATAGCACCTCACCTGGGGAACGCCTTGAGCGCATGCCCATAGCACCTCACCTGGGGAACGCCTTGAGCGCATGCCCATAGCACCTCACCTGGGGAACGCCTTGAGCGCATGCCCATAGCACCTCACCTGGGGAACGCCTTGAGCGCATGCCCATAGCACCTCACCTGGGGAACGCCTTGAGCGCATGCCCATAGCACCTCACCTGGGGAACTCTTTAAGCGCATGCCCATAGCACCTCTCCGCCTCCCCCACTTCCCCCATGTCCCTCCGCACGTCCCCCAGCACGCGCCACGCCTCCCCCCGCTGCGGCTCTGCTTGCACCACGGTCTGCAGCGCTACTGCTGCCTCTGACCGGCGGCCCATGTGGTACAAGGCGTTGCCCTGAAGATTAGGTGGGAGGGGGATGATAACAGTTGAGAGAAGTGAGCACGCGCCACGCCCCCCCCCGCTGCGGCTCTGCACGCACCACGGCCTGCAGCGCTGCTGCTGCCTCTGACCGCCGCCCCATGTAGTATAAGGCGTTGCCCTGGGGAAGAGCAGAGGGGAATGATAACAGTAGGGAGAGAAGTGAGCACGCGCCACGCCTCCCCCCGCTGCTGCTGCTTCGGACCATCGCCCCATGTGGTATAAGGCGTTGCCCTGAGGATTTGGCGGGAGGGGGGAGAGGGTTTGGTGGGAGGGTGCAAGGAAGGAGAGAAGAGTAAGTAAGTGGGTCACCATCCCCTACACCTTTTGTGGATCCGCACGCACCACCACCTGCGGCGTTGCCGCTGACTCTGACCGTCGCCCCATGTGGTACAATGTGTTGCCCTGAGGAAGCGGGGAAGCGAGAACGTGCAAGGGAGGAGAGAAGTGGTTAGGATCTCTCCCCCCTTTTCCCCGCTGTGGTTCCGCTTGCACCACAGCCTGCTACACCTCCCACTTACACCCCATGTGGGATAGCGTGTAGCCCTGGGGAAGCGGGGGCTTTAGGGGTGGATCAAAAGCTGCCTCCAACTGCATTCCCATGTGGATACTAGTGTGTTGCCCTTGGGCAGTGGGGTGGGGTGGGGTGGGGTGGGGTGGGATAAAACTCCCACCAACCAGTCAGGACTCAGCACTCCGCACAGAGCAGCAGGATGCTCCGCTCCATGCCATGCCACGCCACACCATGCCATGCTATGCCATGCCACGCCACGCCATGCTATGGGTCCTTGGGAGATGCAATAGCCTGCAATGCATGCCCTGCCTGCGATGCCATGCCATGCTATGCCATGCCATGCTATGCCATGCCATGCCATGGGTCCTTGGGAGATGTAATGTACCAGGAAGAGGCGGAGGGTGTGCTCGTGTGGAGAGTGGTGCAGTGCGGTGGTGAGGTCCGGAATGGCGTCCTTGAAATCCCTGCTGTTCACACGAGCCATGCCTGCCACGTAGGGATGGGTGGGTGGGGGGTTGCATGGGATGGCATGGGTGGTGCATTGGATGGCATGGGTGGTGGTGGATGAGATGGGATGCATGAAATAAGATGGATGGGTGCATGGGACAGCGGGTGGATAAGATGGGTGCACACATACCGTGAAAGCACGGCATAAGTGCATTGCATGGCGTGTGTGAATGGTTCAGATACTGTCGGGATTTCTGTAAGCCAGCATGACATATGGTTCTGCTGTTTCAACGACTCACCTCTCTCACGAATGGCAGCGACATTGCTCGGGTCGGCAGCAATCATGGTAGTCCAGTCCGCTATAGCCTGCCACCGCACAGCACCATGGCATGGCATGGCGTGGCATGGCATGGGTTGCACACATGCATGGCACACAGCAGCATGGGATGGGTGGGATGGGTTGCACACACGCGTCGCACATAGCAGTACGCATCGGACACAGTGGAACTCACTGCCCTCACGACCACAGACTCCTTCTGACCTGCTAGGAGCTACACTGATGGGCGAGTGCAGCAAGGTGTGGCCGGCGTGATTACTAATTTATTACACCCACGAAGGGCTATTGGAAAGCTGAAGCGGCTGCAGAGTCAGATAATGTCCTGGCTGTGTTTGGCTGTGTTTGGCTGTGTTTGATACCAAATAGATTGGCTATGTACACCCTCCTGCTGCTGCCCTCTGCTGCTGTACAGTACAGTACAGCCCCTCTCTGCTCCTTCATCATCGCATCCCCATGCACACCTGCTCTCCAACCCCTCTGCTCCCTTATGCACATCACAGCCCCACCCAGCCTGACCTCAGAGAACCGTTGCAGCCTGAGGTGAGAGACGGCGCGGTGCTGCAGCAGTTGCTGGTGGATGGGCAGATCCGATGGAATGATCTTCAAGGCCTGAAAAATGGCACGTCCAGCCCAAGAGCAGAGCAAGAAAGGCAAGCGGAGTGAAGTATGGATGGGCGAGGCTTGGCATGGTAAGAGGAGAGGAGCGGAGCGGTACAAGTGTTGCCTTTCTACAGTGACGCACCTTGGTGAGGTCGGTGTCGCACCTTGGTGAGGTCGGTGACGCACCTTGGTGAGGTCAGTGTCGCACCTTGGTGAGGTCAGTGTCGCACCTTGGTGAGGTCAGTGTCGCACCTTGGTGAGGTCAGTGTCGCACCTTGGTGAGGTCCGTGTCGCACCTTGGTGAGGTCATTGTCGCACCTTGGTGAGGTCAGTGATGTCAATATCCTAAGCAGTCACCTCGCTGCAGTCACATACCTTGGTGAGGTCAGTGATGGCCTGCGTGTGGCGGCCTGTGAGGGAGTTGGCCGCCCCCCTCCACGCCAGCAGCCCTGCAGACTCCTCCTCGCCCTGCTCCTCCAGCTGGTGGCATTGGAGGGGAGGACAGCAAGTCGGGGAGCAGGTGAGGGGAGGAAGTGAGGGGGGGATATGAGGGGGCAGCAATGGCCCCTACATGCCAGCAGCCCTGCCAACTCCTCCTCTCCCTGCTCCTCCAGCTGGTGGGATTCAATGTACAGAGGAGGGGAGCGGCAGGGGGAAGGTGAGGAGGGCTACTTCAGAATATCGATGGATTCCTGCTGATGAAACTGTTAACTGTCAGCCACGCTAAAGTAAAGCTCGAGAAGAGAAATGTCAGGTTGAACATACAAGACGGCATAGACAACTGAGGGTTAGAGATGCTGTTGAAGACTGCTGTAATGAGGATAACATGCACATGACTTGTGTGAAGACGGATCGAGAGACAAGACAGTGCGCAGGGAATGGAGGGAAGGGAAGGGAAGGGAAGGGAAGAGGAAGGGAAGGAAAAAGAAGGGAAGGGAACGGAAGGGAAAGGGAAGGGAGGGGGAGGGAAGGGAACGGGAAGGGAAGGGAAAGGGAACGGCAGGAATGGGAAATGGGAATGGAAAGGGAAGGAGAGGGAGGCGAAGTGGCAGGGAGGAAAGGAGAGGGGAGGGAAGGTAACCTGTGCAAATGCTTCAATTGCAGCCTCGTAGTTGCCTGCTTGCGCCTGACAGGAAGCACGAGGCAATGAATATGAGGGTCAAGGGAAACGCAGTGAAGTAAGGGAATCATCAAGCCGTGTGGAAGAGGAGTGCAGGGAAGCACACGCTTCAATTGCAGCCTCGTAGTTGCCTGCTTGAGCCTGACAGGACGCGTGAGGTAACGGAAATGAAGGACAAGGGAAACGCAGTGAAGCAAGGGAATTATCAAGCAGTGTGGAATAAGAGTGCAGGGAAGTGGAAATGCGGCAATGCTTTCGACCGTGTGTGTGACAGAATGCAGTTGACTTTTGAGTCGACTCAAAAGTCACCTCAATGCTTTCGACCGTGTGTGTGACAGAATGCAGTTGACTTTTGAGTCGACTCAAAAGTCACCTCAATGCTTTCGACCGTGTGTGTGACAGAATGCAGTTGGAAAGCAACGATGAGGTTTGAGGAATTAGACATGAGATGAGATGAGGTGATTTTTGTGCACAAGGACGTGTAGCATAAACTGCTTAAACTTCTTAATGCCTGCAAGCAACCCCCTTTGAGAACTCCTATAAGTGACCCAGCTGTGTTGCTCACCGCCCCACTGCCACTCACCCCCCCACTGCCACTCACCCCCCCACTGCCACTCACCCCCCTACTGCCACTCACCCCCCCACTGCCACTCACCCCCCCACTGCCACTCACCCCCCTACTGCCACTCACCCCCACACTGCCACTCACCCCCCCACTGCTACTCACCCCCCCACTGCCACTCACCCCCCCACTGCCACTCACCCCCCCACTGCCACTCACCCCCCCACTGCCACTCACCCCCCCACTGCCACTCACCCCCCCACTGCCACTCACCCCCCCACTGCCACTCACCCCCCCACTGCCACTCACCCCCCCACTGCCACTCACCCCCCCACTGCCACTCACCAACCCCACTGCCACTCACCAACCCCACTGCCACTCACCAACCCCACTGCCACTCACCAACCCCACTGCCACTCACCAACCCCACTGCCACTCACCAACCCCACTGCCACTCACCAGCCCCACTGCTACTCACCCCCCCACTGCCACTCACCAGCCCCACTGCCACTCACCTAGGGATGAGCAAAGGGCGAACACGAACATGTTCGTCTTCGCCCGTTGTCGAACACCCTCTTTTGCCGAACCGAACACTGTTCGGTTCGGCGAACAGTTTAGGAAAAAACAGGTGTTCGCTGTTCGCCTGTGGAGGCGTGTTCGGGCGAACCTCGAACACTGTTCGTGTTCGTCGCGGGCAAATTTCAGCAGCGGCCCGAACACGAACGTGTTCGGGCGAACATCGAACACTGTTCGGCGAACGATTTGAGCTAAAAAACAAAACCTGTTCGGTTCGCCTCGAACACGTTCGAGGCGAACCGAACAGGTGTTCGCCACCTTGCTCATCCCTACACTCACCCCCCCACTGCCACTCACCAGCCCCACTGCCACTCACCCCCCCACTGCCACTCACCAGCCCCACTGCTGCTTCGAGAGTCACATCGCTGCCCCACCGCTTCTTTGGACGGGCACCAGCTCTCCCCTTGGCTGAATTCCGCCTGGACTCTGCAGCTGCCGCCATCTCTTGTTCTCCCTTCTCCTTTACCATCTTCTCTCTCTTGTGTCCCTTCTCCTTCTTCTCCCTCTCCTTCTTCTCCCTCTCCCTCTCCTTCTCCTTCTCCCTCTCTTTCTCCTTCTCCTTCTCCCTCTCCTTCTCCTTCTCCCTCTCTTTCTCCTTCTCCTTCTCCCTCTCCTTCTCCCTCTCCACGTCCTTCTCATTGTCCTTGATAGTAGATGTGCCCGCAGTGATTACCTTTACGTCCCCCTTGCCCTTTGCCTTGTTCTCATGCTCCTCCACACCACTCCCCTCTTCCTCTCGTTCCTCCCCTTTCTCCCTCCTCAGTCTCCTCTCCTCTCTCCGCCCCCTCCCTCTCCTCCCCCTCTTCTCCATCCCTTCCTCCACTGCTGTCTCACCACCTCGGTCTGCTGTCTCACCACCTCGGTCTCCTGCCCTATCGTCCTCATCTGACTCCCCTCCCCTCTCCCTATCACCGCCTGCCAACCCTCTCCCTTTGCCTCCTATCCCACCTCCCTCACTCTCAGCCTCCTCCTCTAGCTCCTGCGTCCTCTCTTTCCCCTCGGTTCTGGCTTCACTAACTCGCTCCTCCCCTTTCCCTTCGCTTGCTCCTTCCTCCCTTGCTCTCTTCTCCTCTCGCAACCGCTCTTCCCTCTCCCTTCTTTCCTTCTCCCTCTGTGCTCTGCGTCCCCCTCTCCGTCCCCTCTTCCCACCCTCACTCTCCTCCCTCTCCCCAGACTCACTCTCCTCCCCACCCTTAACCTTAACCTCAGCCACATTTCCTTCCAATTCCTTCTCACGCACCCCATCCATCTGCTTACTCCCACTGCTTGACCCTTCACTAAACTCGTCTCCTGACACCAAATCCCTTCCTTCCAACGCCCCTCCACGCCGTTGCTTTCCACCCCTGATTCCTCGTCTTTCCTCCTCTCCCCCTTCCTCTCTCCCGTGCATTCCCCCCTCCTTTCCCCCCTCTTCACCCGCATCCTCTCCCCTCTCCTTTCCAATCTCCTCTCCCTCCTCCCCCACCGCAGCACTAAGCACTTCCACCACGTCACCCAGGGAAGGGAATGCATCTTCAACACTCAGAAGCTCCTTCAGGCGCGGCTCATGGTTGAGAGAAGGGTAGAGCCAGGAGGAGACGGAGCGGAGGAAGAGAGCGGCTGAGGGGCACAGGATGGACTCCCAGTCCACCTGCACAGTGGGGATGGAGAGTTAATGAGGCAATTATGCAGGGAAGGGAAGGAAGGACAAGCGGGGTGAGTTGTGGCGATTCTTCAAATCAAGCATGCATCTCAAACCCCAAAGCCCCTCTGTCTTACACGCACGCATGCATGCAGTCCACCTGCGGCTTCGGCATTTGAGTCGACTCAAAAGTCATCTCTGTCTTACACGCATGCATGCAGTCCAACCAGCTGCGGCTTCGGCACCCAAGTCGACCACTACCAGCCATCAAGGTTCAGTGCACCTGGACGGCAGGGGGAATGGGTTTGGAGGCGTGGAGGTCGATGGCGAGGAGCAGGCCGAGCGTGACGACATGGCCTGTCATGGCTGTGGCTTTCGCACTAGACTGCAACTACCATTCATCAAGGCTCACAGCACTGCACCTGGACACTAGGGGGGATGGGCTGGGAGGCGTGCAGGTCGATGGCGAGGAGCACAGAGCGTGACGACATGGCCTGTCATGGCTGTGGCTTTGCAATCAAGTCGACTACTAGTACTACCAACCGTCAAGGTTCACTGCACCTGGACGTTAGGGGGGATGGGCTGGGAGGCGTGCAGGTCAATGGCGAGGAGCAGGCCGAGCGTGATGACGTGGCCTGTCATGGCTGTGCCGCGTGCCAAGGGCATGAAGTTGTACCTGAGGGGGGGGTGGGAGTATGCGCGGAGAGGGAGAGAGTATTAGGTTAGGGAGCAGACCGAGCGTGATGACATGGCCCGTCATGGCCGTGCCGCGCGCCAATGGCATGAAGTTGTACCTGAGGGGGGTGGTGTGGGGGGTAGGGGGGGTATGGGGGCATGAGGACAGGACGGAGAGGGCTATGTGTGGAGAGCGAGAGAGGTTGGAGCAGACCGAGCATGACGACATGGCCTGTCATGGTCGTGCCGCGCGCCAAGGGCATGAAGTTGTACCTGAAGGGGGTGGGGGGGGGGGGTATGGGGACAGGGAGGAAGAGACGTAGGGGGGGTTGGGGGAGATAGGTAGAGGAGCAGGCCGAGAGCGATGACGTGGCCTGTCATAGCTGTGCCGCACACCAAGGGCATGAAGTTGTACTTGATGAGGGTTGGGGGTCCGAAGACAGGAAGGATGAGGGGGAGATAGGTAGAGGGAGAGAGGGGAGAGGAATCTGAGGGGATCGAGGGTGACGACATGGCCTGTCATGGCCTTGCCGCGCGCCAAGGGCATGAAGTTGTACCTGAGGGGGGTGGGGGGGGGGTATGGGGGGTAAGGGGGGAGAGACGTATTGGAAGGACTCGGGGGAGAGTTATTGGGGGAGAGTGAGAGAGATTAGAGCAGGGTGTGGTGAGGTGAGGAGGATGACATGGCCATATCGGGCATGACGTTGCACCTTGAGGGTGATAACGGGTGATTGGGTGGATGGGTGGGTGGGTGGATGGATGGATGGATGGATGGATGGAAGGAAAGACGGATGAATAGATGGATGGTTGGATGAATGGGTCGCCATACTAGTAATAGGCAGTACTGAACGCTTCACTTGAGCATACCAGTAGTATGCCATTCTGAGAATGCTGTCCTGCACGGCCTTGCGATAGGCGGGAAGGTCAGAGTCGCGGAGAGGCGTGTTCGCCACTGCTAGGCAGACGGCCTGATGGGAGAGGGCCGGTTGGACGCAGCAATAGAGGTGAGGGACACAGTGAACCGTGAAGGCCGCGAAATTGAGAGCAAGCAAGGTGTAAGGAACACAGAGTAAGGAAGCGAAGAGGACGGGATACACACGCTGATAGAATGGTTCAACACACGTAAGTACGAGAGAAAGCCATGGCTGGGCTGGGAGTAGGAGCGAACCTTCCAAGAAGCCGCCATCTCAGCATCAAACTCGTTCCACCTATGGGGCGTGAGCACCGTTTCGATCAGAAACTCCACTCCGTATGGTCTGGGGTGGGGTTCACGGAGAGTGGAACGGGGGGAAGGGGAGGTGGGAAGCCACCATCTCAGCGTCAAACTCGTTCCACCTATGAGGAAGGGAACTTGGGGACCCTTGGATCGATCGAAGGGACACGGCAGTTTATAGTGGGGACACTTGGAGATGCCTCTGACTGAAAAGAACAAGCAGGAGGTGGGCCGTATTCTCTGGTGGCCTTGTATGAGGAAGGGAAGAGTGCGACTGAAAGAGGTGGGTAGAGCAGGTCAGAGGAAGCAGGAGCCTTTGAACAGAGGGCGGCGACACACCTGGTCAAGAGGGCGAGTCGAGTGCCGTTGAGTGTCTTGCTGCAGTCATGGGGGGAGAGGCGGGGATGGAGGCAGAGGCAGGCACGTGGGCAGAGAGGCAGGCATGTGGGCAGAGAGGCAGGCATGTGGGCACAGAGGCAGGCATGTGGGCACAGAGGCAGGCAGGGGGACAGAGAGGCAGGCAGGGGGACAGAGAGGCAGGCAGGGGGACAGAGAGGCAGGCAGGGGGACAGAGAGGCAGGCGGGTTGAAAAAGACCAGTAAGAGAGGTGAAGCGCGTGGAAGCTAGTCATTAAGGTAAGCTTAACTAGGAAAGGGTGACACACTACGTGACGGGTACTTGGGGGAGGCGGTGCTGAGGTAGGGCTTACTTGGGGGAGGCGGTGCTGGGGCAGGGCTTACTTGGGGAAGGCTGTACTCTGGCAGGGCGTGAAGACAAAGAATGGCTGCTGCACCGCGTGCCACAGATGGGTGTGATCCGAGGCTACTGCCACCTGATGGGGGGAGAAGGGGAGGAGGGAGGCGAGGAGTGAAGGAGTGTTTCTAGGACACCACAAATGCAATAATGAGCATGAGAATATGCAAAACGCATAGACCTGCTTACAGTACTGCTCCGCTCTCCTGAATCCTGATACCAGAGGCTTAAGCACAGTTGACTGAGGAGTTGACTCAACACTCACCCTGTTTACAGTACCAGTTAAGTCTCAAGAAAGACTGAGGCTGTTGCTCAAGATACCAGAGGCTCAACAAAGACTCACCTGCCGCAGGATACAGATCTACTATATGATGGACTCAAGAACCGCGCCCACCTGCTTCAGGGCATGCGTGGAGAGAACTATCTCCTCATACCCCCCTCGGTACACCTTGCCTTGCTCCCCAATGATAGCCTTCACCATCTCAAGCGCTCTGCTTGTGGGGAGAAGGATGGATGGGGGCATGAGGGAATTAGACGTGGAGGGAGTGAGGTGCTTGGTTGGTTCGAGTGAGTGAGGCGTCTCTTGTTCCCCCCTCGGTACACCTTGCCTTGCTCCCCAATGATAGCCTTCACCATCGCAAGCGCTCTGCTTGTGGGCAGAGGGATGCACGGAGGCACGAGGGATGGATGGGTATGCACCTCTGCTCGGAAGGCAGCGTGGTAGCAAGAGACAGTTTCGACCTGGATCCAGCAGGTAACTCGTCCTAATCTCTTCCTAATTACCTGCTGGATCCAGGTCGAAACTGTTTTTCTGTGCTCAGAAGGCAGCGTGGTAGCAAGAGACACACCAACGAGCATGCATGCAGCATTGAATGGATGTTACTTTTGAGTCGACTCAAAAGGAGACACATCAAAGAGCATGCATGCAGCATTGAATGGATGTTACCTTCCTGTGACCACGCCCCTGGTCACCAACCCATGACACTGGGCCTTAGAAGTGCTGGCAGCAAGAGGCGCACCTGGGAGCGTGCATGGCGTAGCGGATGTTGTGGGCGGGACCAGAGACCATGGGCGTGGTGGAGCCAAAGCCACTCTCAAATGACTCCCTCCTGGGCGGGAGAGGAGGAGAGCACACGGTGAGAGAGTGGCCTCTAATGTTGAGAATAGGCAGAGCAAAGAAAGATCAGGGCAGAGGCATCGCTCAGCAAGTTGCTAACCACACCCAACCCCGACCAACCGTATGAACGCCCATACACGTAATGCATCTGTGCCACAGCCAAAGCGAGTGCATGCGACTCACGCGACACACAATGGGTTGCGGTTACCACGCAACATATTCAAGAGCCCCACAACTCACACGAGGCCGTCGATCCACACGATGGGGTCTAGGGTTTAGGGCTACCAGTGCAAGACAGTCATGGTTACCACGCAACCAGTTCAGAACCCCAAGACTCACGTGAGGCCGTCGATCCACACGATGGGGTTGTGGTTACCAGGTAACACATCAAATCAAAGAGCCCCACGTGCAACTCACGTGAGGCCGTCGATCCACACGATGGGGTCGTTAGGTTCGGCAATCTGGCGCCATCTCACTCCCATGCCGTACACGTCCCTCCACCCCACCCCCACCCCCTCCTCCACCTCCTCCGCACTGCTGCCCCTCTCCACGCGCCCCTTCTCCATCCACTCCCCCCACGCCCCCCTCACTCTCTGCATGATCTCAAGTGCTGCCAACCCGGCCGCCCGCTGCTGCCTCGGGTTCCCCAAAAACCCCGTCACGTTGTAATGCACGCGCCGGCCAATCGAATCCGCCCACCTCAGCAGCTCCCTCTTCCTATCAGCCAGGGAAACCCCTGCTCCAACCCCCTTCCTCCTCTCAGCCCTCCTCCCTTTCCTCTTCCTCTCCTCCTCTTCTCGCTCCTCCTCCTGAGCTCGCTGCACGAGAAGCAGCTGGCGGCGCTGCAGAGAGGAGAGGAGGGCGTGCGAGTCGGCGAGCATGGCATAGCCTCTCTGCACCACTTCTGCTGGGTGGAACGCACGCGCCCACCCCTCCTGCCAACAGAGAAAGGGAGAAGTAGCAGGGAAGGAAAGAGAAAGGATGCAATGTTTTTTTTTATGGTTGAAGGCACCACTGGGGGCGTGTGGGTCCGCGAGCATGGCATAGCCTCTCTGCACCACTTCTGCTGGGTGGAATGCACGCGCCCACCCCTCCTGCCAAGGGAGAGAAGGGAGAGAAGGGAGAGAGGGGGAGGAAGGAGAAGGGCGCTTGTTTGATGATTGAAAGCAGCACTGGGAATGAGTGTGTTAGTCAAGAATCACATCACAGTTGTGAAAAGCCTCAGAAGGAATGAGTGCCGCACATGAATCACATCACACCCGCACATGTAAGCACTCAAAGGGGAGAAGCTGAAGGCGTTACAGCAGTGCTTGTTGCCTCACCTTGAAGACGCTGCTTCGCCTTGAAGATGCTGCTTCACCTTGAAGACGCTGCTGAAACGGTCGTTGATGCTGAAGTCAGGAAAGGGGTCGTTGATGGTCATTGCCATGTGCGTTGCCACCTCCCTCTGTTGGGATGTCCAATGGAGAGGCAAGGAGAGGCAAGGATAGGCAAGGATAGGCAAGGATAGGCAAGGAGAGGCAGCAGAGGGAAGGGAGTGTTGATGCTGAAGGCAGGAAAGGGGTCGTTGATGGTCACTGCCATGTGCGTTGCCACCTCCCTCTGTTGAGATGTGCAAGGAAGATGCACGGAGAGGCAGCAGGGGGAAGATGAGGCAGCAGGGGGAAGGAGGGGCAGCAGAGGAAAGGAGAGGCGCGGATGAACAAGTGGATGTGCCACAGTACAGTGGTACCTACCATGCAACCATGCTCCAGTCCTCACACAAGGCAGTACGGACGAACGAGGGCTGCGGCTGCGGGCTCACTTGGAAGAAGGCGAGGAAGACAAAAGCCTGCTCGTGCTGCTGCGGCGAGAGAGAAAGCAAGTTGTTGTATAGGGTGATCTGCACAACACAAGGCAAAGGGCAGAAATTGAATCCTTTTGTGTCTAAATGCGATCCTAGAGAGAAATAGCTTGCAGTGAGTGACCTTGCAAGAGAAGGAAAGCAAGGAAGAATTTTATTATTTACGCGCCTCAGAAGCAGCCGAGAGAGCGAGAGCATGTACAGAGAGGACTTGTGCTACAAGAGAGAGGAAAGATATTCACACGGGGAAAAGTGCAAAGGAAATGGCTCCACACGAATGGTACCAACTGGCTTGGTGGTGAGCACTACAGTGAAAGCTGGGGTTACAGTGAAAGCTGGGGTTACAGTGCCAGCAGGGCTTACAGTGCCAGCAGGGCTTACAGTGCCAGCAGGGCTTACAGTGCCAGCAGGGCTTACGCTTTGAACAAAGTTCCCAACAGCGTGGTGGCAGGAGGCCTCCAAGTATCTGAGCTGCACGCTTGCCGGGTGCTGCTGCAGTGCCCTCTCCAGCAGCTGCAACGCGCCCCTGAGGGATGTAGGAGTCCGGGATCGACAGAGAGGGACAGCTAGCTGGTTGAGTTGAGAACATATAATCAAGCGACAAGGCGAAGACAGCTCTTCACAGAGCTGTTGTGAGAGTGGCAGGTGGAGATTGGGGGAGCGAGCAAGTGGGGAGATTGAAGGAATTTCTTAGAGAGGCAGATCCCTGTCTGACAAGGAACTTTTTGGCTGCCTTGCTGGATGCCCCACCTCACCTCAGCTTCACCCAATCAATAAACTTTCGAGGCGCCTCAAAAGACGCCCCTCTCTCAACCCTCTATATTTCCCCATCCCACTTCTTTCCAGTTCCCCTCTCTTTCCTCGTCGCCCGTCCGTCTTTCCTTCTTCCCCCTCCTCCCTCCTCCCCACTCCCTTCCTTTCTATCCGCACCTGTGGTCGCCTGCGACGTGCTTCAGCTCCACCCACATGCTCAAGCTTTTGAGGCATGTGGCAACCAACCCCATCTCAAAACACCTGCCTCGTCCCTTTCATCCCTCTTCCGCCCCCCGTTCCTGTCCGCACCTGTGGTCGCCTGCCACATGCCTCAGCTCCACCCAGTTGATCAAGCTTTGAGGAGCCTCACAGAGGCTCACTCCCCCTTCATCCTCCCCCCCCCCTCCTGCCCCCCCACACCACATCCTCATTTCCCCCTGCCTTCCTATCCGCACCTGTGGTCGCCTGCCAGCGTGCCTCAGCTCCACCCACAAGATCAACTTTCGAGGCTCATCAAAAACACCCCCCAAACCTCCCTCTTCTCCCCTCTAACTCCTTCCTTCCTATCTGACCGCACCTGTGGTCGCCTGCTACGTGCCTCAGCTCCACCCACATGATCAACTTTCGAGGCTCATCAAAATCACCCCCCAAACCTCCCTCTTCTCCCCTCTAACTCCTTCCTTCCTATCTGACCGCACCTGTGGTCTCCTGCTACGTGCCTCAGCTCCACCCACATGATCAACTTTTGAGGCGCCTCAAAATCACCCCCCAAACCTCCCTCTTCTCCCCTCTAACTCCTTCCTTCCTATCTGACCGCACCTGTGGTCGCCTACCGCATGCCGCAGCTCCACCCACATGATCAGTGCAGGAAGGAAACTGCAAGGAAACAGCAGCAGGGAGGCGAGGGGAACGAGATGGAGAGATAGATGGAAGGGTTTCATTAGAGTGATACGGAAAACTAACGAAACGGCGGAGGACTGATGAGGGCTGAGCCTGCGGAAGGAACAATGACAAAGAGAGGCAGACGGGGGCGAACAAAAACCCGTTTCATCTGTCACTTCATGCTTTCACACGCATGCATGCATACACACACGCATGCATCACACATAGCATCAACACCTAGCACTCTCAACAGCCGCACCTCTCATTCAGCTGAACGCTCCTACTGAAGCTCGCCTCTGCCTCGCGCCTGTTGCCAGCCTCCTTGTGCCCCCACCCCTGCAGCCGCCACAGGTTCTGAAACATGTATTTCCAAGACGCCTCACAGCGCAACAGCCGCACCTCTCATTCAGCTGAACGCTCCTACTGAAGCTGGCCTCTGCCTCGCGCCTGTTGCCAGCCTCCTTGTGCCCCCACCCCTGCAGCCGCCACAGGTTCTGAAACATGTATTTCCAAGACGCCTCACAGCGCAACAGCCGCACCTCTCATTCAGCTGAACGCTCCTACTGAAGCTGGCCTCTGCCTCGCGCCAGTTGCCGGCCTCCTTGTGCCCCCACCCCTGCAGCCGCCACGCCTCCGCATCGTTTGGTATCAGAGCAACGGCCCGGCTGAACGAGTCCAGTGCCGCTTGGATCTGATTGGACACCATCTGAGACTCGCCCTGATTGGGGGGTTGGGCAAGGAACGGAAGTGAAAGGATTTGACTCTGTCAAAGCAGCTTGAAGGGTTGCAGGCGATGAGAATGGGTTGCAGGCGATGAGAATGGGTTGCAGGCGACGAGAATGGGTTGCAGGCGACGAGAATGGGTTGCAGGCGATGAGAATGGGTTGCAGGCGATGAGAATGGGTTGCAGGCGATGAGAATGGGTTGCAGACGATGAGAATGGGTTGCAGACGATGAGAATGGGTTGCAGACGATGAGAATGGGTTGCAGACGAGCCACAGTAAAGCTCCTTTGACGAAGCAGCACCGCGTTGAAGATAGGAAGCAGGAAGGCATGCGATCGTGGTGCATCCTCACATCACATCAGCCCGCCTTTGCTGTGCATATCAGCAGAGGAGAAGAGGAAGTGCACGAGCAAAGGCAGGCACATGAGGGAGTCGATAAACATACCAGCTTTATGAGAGCATGAGGGTCATCGTCAGAAGGTGCTGCCTTGCTGCCTCCTCTTGACCTTCCTTGCGTTGGAATTCCTTCTTTCCCTCTTTTCTTCTCCTTCCCTTCCTTCCCTTCCCTCTTGTCTTTCCCTTCCTTCCCTCCCTTCCTTTCCTCCCCTTCCTTTCTTTCCTCCCCTTCCTTCCTTTCCTCCCCTTCCTTTCTTTCCTCCCCTTCCTTCCTTTCCTCCCCTTCCTTTCTTTCCTCCCCTTCCTTTCTTTCCTCCCCTTCCTTCCTTTCCTCCCCTTCCTTTCTTTCCTCCCCTTCCTTCCTTTCCTCCCCTTCCTTTCTTTCCTCCCCTTCCTTCCTTTCCTCCCCTTCCTTTCTTTCCTCCCCTTCCTTCCTTTCCTCCCCTTCCTTCCTTTCCTTCCCTTCCTTCCCTGCTGTTTCTTCCTTCTCTCTCTTCTCCTTCCTTCCACTCCCTTCCTTTAATTCCTTCCCTCTTTTCCTTTCCTTCTTCTCCTTCTCTTCACTCCGTTTCTTCTTCTTCTTCTCTTCCTTCTTCTCCTTCCCTCTCTTCTCTTCCTTCTTCTCCTTTCCTTTTTTCCCTGTCTTCTTCTCCTTCCCTCCCTTCCCTTTCACTCTCACACGCTCCTCCACTCGCTCTTTCCTCTGTTCCTCCCCTCTCTCTTGCCTTGAAAGGTCCAAAGTGATCTGTTCGGTCTTCTCTACTTCTCTTCCCCCACCCACACCCTCACCCATCCCCTCTGCTGCTCCATCCCTCCAAGCTTCATCACTTTCCCATCGCCCCCTCCTTCCCTCTCCACCCCTCCGCCCTCTCCCTCTTTCACCCCTCAATACAATCACACATATCTCCTCAGCTGCCTCCCCTCCCCAAAGCACTCCCCCCTCCGCGCACGCCGCTCCCCCCTCCCAGCTGCCCCCGCGCTGCGCCCCTTCCCCTTGCACGGGGAGGCTGGGGGAAGGCAGCAGGCGGAGAGAGACACCTGATAGGGATATGGGGTGGGGGGGGGGAGGGGAGGGAGAAAGAGGAAGAGGGAGAGCGGGGAAATGAGGGAGACGGAGGAGAGGGAGAGTAAGTGCGAGGGAGAAGGGAATGAAAGGATGCCATGCCGTGCAGACGGGAATCAGTACAGCCCCCAAGTGATCAATGCCATGCGATCAATGCCATGCAATCAATGCCATGCGATCAGTGCCATGCGATCAGTGCCATGCGATCAATGCCATGCGATCAATGCCATGCGATCAATGCCATGCGATCAGTGCCATGCGATCAATGCCATGCGATCAATGCCATGCCATCAATGCCATGCGATCAATGCCATGCGATCAATGCCATGCAATGCGACCTCCCAACCTCACCCCATCTGATAGCAGCACAACATTCCCACCCCTGCTAACGTCCCTCCTGTCCGCCCTTCTCCTCCGTCATTCTCTCGTCCACCCTCCCGCACCCGCTCCCACAATTCCCACCCGTTTCTCTCCCTTCCCTTCTCCCCCCGCTCACCCGATCTGAGGAAGGGCGAGGGACACGTGGCACGCCACGGGCTGCCCTGCAGCAGCTGCTCACTCCACCGCTCCGACAGAAACGACGGTTCTCGGCCAATCAGAGGCAGCCAGCTGGCGGTGCGACAGCACAGGTTGAATGGGAAAGATGTTTGGATAGAGAGGTGCGGGGGCGGCGGGAAGAGGGGGGAATGAGGCAGGGGGGAGGGGTGGGGGAATGGGAGAGGAAGTGGGGACGGGGAGAGGGGGAGGCTGAAAGGGAGGGGGGAGGGTGTGTCGGCGGGGAAGACGCGTAGATTCGAGCGCTCAATTCCACAGGCTCAGAGCCTTCAGAAGCATCTCAGAAGCATCGCAGAGATACCATGCGCCATGCGAACATGCGCATCTCTGTGACGCCCTGTGCGCGCGCTAAAAGTGTCACACGCGCACCTGCTACTCCCCCTCTCCCGCGCAATGGCACGCGCTACAGCACTCGCGCACCTGCTACCGCCCCCTTCCCGCGCAATGTCGCGCGCAGTGGCGGAGATGGCAGAGGCTGCGCGGACGAGTAGCCTCTGGCTGCACGCGGCGGCGCTGTCTTCGCTCCGCGGCCACGTGGCGCTTACTACAGCCGTCCATGGGGGACAGGGACAGGTGTGCGTTGCTGATGTGTCACTGGCTGTACACGTGGCCAGCGAGGCCTTGTAGACGTGGCAGACTGTGAGGTTGAGCGAGAGGCATAGGAATGTGAGGGTAGAAAGCGGGACAGCCATGGAATGCGCTCCACGTCAGCATGCTAGAATACGTCAGCCTTGACAGCCAGGTATGTCATTTGAGTGGCTTGCATTGGAAGATATCAATTTTAGGCGCGAAACGAATTGGTCTTGACTGCTCTGGGCGATTGGGCAGGCAACTTGAGGGTGCGTACAGGACAAGGCCAATGCAAAAACTGCCTTATAAGCATCTGGGGCAAAGATTCCCTACCATACACTCACTGCGCCCCTGGCTTTAACATGCGCTCTGGTACCTGCATGCCAGGTGGGTACACTAGTTCCTGCAGGCTGTGCATTCAGTATGCGATCACCAGGGTAATGCTTATGATGCAGTTGCTGTATCACCTTCGTTTGAAAGAAACATTTAGTGCCAGCATCTTTATAGCAATCTTACATTTTGTCTCTATCTTTTTTCTCACGCATGCATTCTCATTGTCCTCCTCTCTCCGTCACAGTAACACCAACTCTCATTCCCCCTTTTCACTGCTGCCTTGCGTGTCTGCCTCGTCACAGTAACACCCAATATTTTATCCAACACTTCCCTACATCCAATGTCCTCACAGGCCTCGTTCCTGATGTGGCAGACGTCGCCATCAGCGTCTTTAGTGAGGTCAACTTCGGCACAACAACAAACCCTCCTTATGTCTTCCGCCTGAAGCCCTTCACTTGTGTCACCATCCCTGACGCGGTTGTCGCCTCTGCCAAGTCGGCTGGCTATCTGTATCATGCTCCTGAATCACACTTTCCATGTGTGGTGGTCAACTTTTACCTTTGGCCGAACTGTGATGGATGGCCAAAAAGAAGAGAGGTGACCTCTAGCACTGCCGTTGAAGACGTGCCGGTTGAGTGAGTCTCTCTCTCTCTCTCTCTCTCTCTCTCTCTCTCTCTCTCTCTCTCTCTCTCTCTCTCTCTCTCTCTCTCTCTCTCTCTCTCTCTCTCTCTCCCCTCCCTCCCCCCCCCCCCTTCTCTCTCTCCCTCTCCCCCTCCCTCTTGCTCTCCCCCTCCCCTTCCCGCCTCCCTCTCCCTCCCTCCCCTCTCCCTCTCCCTGTCCCTCTTGGCTGGTCTTTTGCTTATGTCTGCCCTCCAGTGCTTTAACTTTTCTGTCTCCAGCCCTCATGTTCGCACTCTTTGTAGCCATTATCCCACATCATATGCATTAACACCAACTTTCTGCGTTCTTCAAATTTTTATCTTTCTCTCAACAGATCTCTTCCTTGTGGTATAGCCAAATCCTTCAAGTGCCTTCTGTGGGAACTTGGAGGCTCTGGCTAGATTTCCAAGTCCAAGAAAGATTTGAAGTCAGATTGAAGTACTGGAAGAGGGCCATAAAGGTTGAAACCCAGCTGCATGGCATGGGAAGAGATGCCTTGGATGGTCAAAACTTGCAGTCAGGCAGGCAGCAAGTACCGTATTCTCCCGGATAAAATACCCCCCCGTAATTGTACACCCCCGGGTAGCTTGTGTGGGGTGGGTGTTATAATCGACCTCGTTTGTACTATACCCCCCCTTTTGGGGTGATTTTCTATAAAACCCCACTTTCCTCATAGATTCTTACTATAGCTATTATCGAGTCCGATTTCTTACAGGAGGATATCGTGAGAATCGCTCCCTAGAAGAAATTTCGCATGTTCTTTCTCTTAAAATCTGCCGAGATTTCCCCCCTCCCACAATCTCGCTGTTGCCATGTTGGCAAATTTTGTTTCACATATTTTCCGCTTGATAAAAAATATACCATATAATAAGACCCGGGTATTACCGTATGTAGGATTTTCCTTTGAGGAGACCCCCCCCCATTTTTTCCAGTGGTTTTCATAATACCCTAGGGTGTTTTATCCGGGAGAATACGGTAGTTTTCTGCCTCTCCGCCTCCCTCTCCCTACCGTACTTTCCTTCCTCTCCCCCTATTCCGCTAGCTATTTCTGTCGTCCCTTCTGTCCTTTCCCTCCCTTTGATGTTGATAAAAATTCAGTATGGATTCTTTCCCATCCCGTTATGGCAATATTACCGTAGTACTGGTGGTCAAGGCCCACAATTGGTTTAGGCCTACCCTTACAAATCAGGGTTCCAGCCACTCCTTACCCAAACCCTTAGGGTAAATTTTTTCGTACCCTGTTTGCAGAACGATAAATCAACCACTAGCCTGATTTGAGCAGGGTAGTTTTAGGCCAACCCCGTTTCAGTTACTATTTTGTGAGCTAAGTTATTTACAATGGCATAATAAAGTAGCACTCACAAAGTCCATGAGCTCTGGAAGAGCATCACATTCACAACACACCTACTCAGTGCCA